TACCCAAAAAAGGGTCACATCATCCTGGGCACAGAGAGAACTGCTCCTGTCTGTGCTTCTGAAGATGCCGGTCACAGATGCTGACGAAACGTTAGGAAACAAAACTTCCAGAACACAGCCACACAGCCCAGAAGACCCACACCAGCCATCATATTCCGGCCGTGAAAGCCTTCGACAATACAATTAAAGATACCCTTGTTCTCCAGTCTGTTATGGTAATAATGCAATCTTGTCTGTGTCTGTTAACATTATATTAGTATATAAAATTCTGTACTGATGAGTGAACAGGCTGATGGAAAAAGAATGAATCCCTCCAACGTGGAAACAGGACTACTATCTTTTTAAGAAGCTATTAGCAAGCTAATATGTCTGTTATAAGGACGGAAATATAGTTGTCTGTATAATTGATTAGGCATAGCTATCTGTATGGTATAAAAAATGTCTGCATTTAATGCTTGAGAAATTGTAGTGGGGAAAGAGAATACAGCCAGTGGTGGTCAAGTTGCCACATCATACTAAGCCAGAAACATTATTGAATAAGTAATAATAGCCTGGTCTATGCAATACTGAACTGCAATGGGTAGATTAAGTTATTATGTTAGGACACATCATGGTTTAGCACAATATTTAAATGAGGCCCTTGATCAGCGATTATGATAAAGAAAGATCCTTATACAGTACATAAGTTCTTTAACAGTGTAACTGGGAATTAATTTCTTTCCTGAATACTGCTAAATTAAGGCCCTTAGACTCTCCTACCAAAACCATACTACTGAAAATTGACAACAAAATACAGGGATTCGGGAATATAACTTTTCAGAGTTTTTGGCTTAGCATACTTACTTTACCTTTAAAACCAAAAACCAAGACCTCACCTCATCAAAAAAAAAGAAGGAAAAAATGGCTGAAAATGTCAGTCCCTGTTGCGTTAGTGTCATACTCCCTGCAGCCACAGGTGACCATTTTTAAAAAAAATGCCCTTCATGAACTGAAATAAATTCCTATGACTTACAAAGTAGCATATATAACCTAAATACCTGGATTTTCTCTCAGAAAAATTAGGAAAACAAGTTATTAATTACTTAGTATGTCTTTTGCCATTGTGAATGCTTGTGGTCTGTTGATTCAAGGAAGTAATAATGTAGAAAACTTAGCAATGTAGACAGTTTGTCTTACCAGTGGTCACAGTATGCTTCTGCAGAAATATGTGTATATATCACTGTATACTCTCTAAGGCAAAATAAGCACAGTTGTTAATGAAGTTTTCTTATATTTAATAATTGAATTATAAATCCCCATACTATACTTTGGTGTCACAAATAGTTTCTTTATAGCAAAATAATAAGAAACTGGTTTCAGCATGCTCCTAAGTAGACTTGTCTTTCTTTTAAAGGTTTTGTCGCTTAAAGCTGCTTCAATGGACCACATTCATGGAGCTTGGAAGGCTCTTACGGATGGAATTGGATTAAAAGACTCTGTCTTCAATGGATCCAGCTGTATTTCACCTACTATTGTTGAGCAGTTTGGTTATCAGCGCAGAGCATCTGATGATGGGAAACTTTTAGATTCCTCCAAGACAAGTAACACTATTCGTGTTTTTTTGCCTAACAAGCAACGCACAGTGGTGAGTCTGTTTCTTGTTTGGGGCAAAATAAAAGATTCACTGTTTTTTCCCTACTAGTTCATAAACATTCCAGTTCCCCAGTAGTCTAAAAATGTTTAAATGTAGAGACTCCAGGATGGATACACTGACATTTTGTTCAACATGTTTACTCAATATACAGACACGTAACTTTGGAAAGAGTAGTGAGACTAGTATCATTTCACTGAATATGTGGATACCCTCTCTTATGAGTGGGTCCTGCTAATACATCCTTTCTGGATATTAGATGCTTTCTTGTGTTTTGCTCTTGGCTTGAAAATGACTACTGAGTTGAACCTTAAAGAATTTTAGACTTGTATCCACATCATAAATATAGATCATTAAACATCAGCAGCAAAAATTATATAAGCTCAGGCAAATTAGAAAGAGTCTGAAATGGATTCTTTTGTTAAATGGTTGACAAGGTTCTGTACTCACAGTAATGGTTTAGACAGAATTTTAATTTAACCCATAGAAGTTATCTATCTTTAAAAATGTTTCCTGTCTGTGAAGAACACTCTTGCTTTTTCATGCTTTCTTCTCTGGCATCCTACTCAATTTTTTTGCCAAGTATGGAACGGTGACGGCGTTCTCCAACCCTTCTCTGCTTGTATGGAGTTTAACCTTTTGTTGCCTATGACTACTATAAAGTGCTTAAATATGAGGGTAGATTGTGTACTGTAGAGAAGTCCAGTTTAGGTGTAATGCTGCTGAGCTGTCTACTGTGAATTTTAAAGGCAGAAATGGGAAACCATCATGTCTGTTTCCATTCATCCAGGCAATTTTTTCTTTTTCCTTGGTTGCTTTAATATAATACATCTGCACAATTGCTTACCATGATTAACAATTACCAGGTTTCCTGTCAATCAGAATCTAAAATGGTGAATCTGATAGGAACCCATGTTAACAATATTCATATAATTTGTATTTTGTCTATTCTATGTACAGTTTTAGGCAGTTCACAACAATATAAATAGTTTTAAAGCATTGGTTTAAAGCAGAACAACTTTGGTGGGGGGTGGGGGGCAACTCACCCATCTGGGTGGCTTTAGGAAGCCGTGGTGATATCACCAAAAGAGAAAGGCCAGCGTGTTTCACCCTGTTTTTCAGTGGTTTGGGAGATTTAAGATGGTTTTAATGTGTGGATATGTGTATTTCACTGACAGAGGCCTTTTGCTCATATTCTCACCTGTGGTTTATCATTTTTACATAAAATTGGACTTCCAGAATTTGGATATACTGTTGTCACATAATGGTGGTGTGATTTTGATCCATTTTCTTTAGCTCTGGAGCTTTTTAGGTGGGAATGTGAGTGTTTTACTTTATATAAGCCTTGTGTTCCTGTTCCCACCATTACTGCCCTGGTTCTCAACACAAAAGTCACACCACTGAAATTCAGTTATTTTGCCACTAAAAGTCCATAAAACAATCTCATAGTGCTTTAGGGTGTCTACGTGGGGTGCTGGAGGCCCCAAAATAGCAGAATGAATTCCAATGCAACAACAGCTGTAATAAGCAATAAAAGAGTAACTTGTTAAATCAGTATATCAGTATATGTCAGTATATCAGGAAGTTCAGCTTCCTAGAACTGAAGATTTTCTTATCTTCTGGAAGGATTTTAGTGAGGAAATGAAATTGTTTCTCTGAGAAGGGAATTCCAGAATTAAGATGCATTCTCTTAGAAAGGCCACCAAACAGTTTGTCAAATTGAACAAAAGGCCTCCAAAAACAGTTTCAGTAGGCATTAAGCTCAGACTGAAAAAGAGGATCCTTTAAATGTATTGGTGCTAAACCATTCAGGATTTTGGAGATTGTCTGCAGCAGTTTGAATTGCAGCCTGGAATCAAATTGAAAAGCCAAAGTAACTATTTCGGAAGATCAGTCCTATGCTCTCAGTGCAGTCTCTGTTAACAATTGGGCTGCTACATTTTGGGTCGGTTGTAGTTTCCAAGTACTCTTTGAAGACAGTGTTGGTAGAGTACACTATAATAATCCAGATACGATGGAACTGAGGGAGATGTCACCCAGATCTGTGTCTCTGGGACTAGGTGAGGTTGATAAACCAGCCTTCCAGTGATATTATCAGTTTGTGTGACAGGAATCTCCCCAAGAGATTAAAAAAAACCCTACTTAGACTCATCAATATCCAGGTGCAAGTAATCCTGGTAGCTACTATAGCTTTGCAAAGGTCTAGGTACATTGACCCTATCTCCTGGCCAATAATGTTTTATCTCTGCTGTTCTATCTCTTCAGTTTCCCTCTTCCAGTTCATCCTTGCTCCATCCTGCAAAAATAATCAGATCCAAAAACAATAAATGCAGATATAGTACCAGTGTAACCATAACCTTAACAAACATAATGGACAGTGTGTGTGTCTCTCTTGAGAAGTAAATCTCTTCCAAAGTTGCTGCCATATTGTAACTAATGCATTTTAAAATAAATAAGCTACCTGAATTTAGTCAGGGTTTCTCCCAGGCAAATGTGTACTGTATAGAGTTACAGGGTTAGATGCAATAGAAGAAAAGAGAAGTGGCAATAGTAAGGAAGGGAATCTTCAGTTATATTCACTGCACTGCACTTAAGAGTTTCCCAGCATTTAAGTCATCAGGCTGTTGTCTAATGATTTGAGTCTTCCAGAGTTTAAAAACAATTACTCTATAAGTGAAATATGAAGATTAACAAGCTAAATAATTTCAGAATTAGAAAAAAAAACTATTTTTGTATTTAATAGGTAAATGTACGTAATGGAATGACTCTTCATGACTGTCTCATGAAAGCACTCAAAGTTAGAGGTCTGCAGCCAGAATGCTGTGCGGTTTTTCGATTACTTAGTGAACATAAAGGGTAAGAATTGGAATTCAGTTGAATTAAACTGTTTAAATAACTTCTTTCCATGAATTTATTGAAGATAATATTCAGTGTATTTCATTTCATATAGCAGCTGCAGATTCTTATCTTTAGGTATGATTTTTTTAAAAAATGGTTATGATTCCTGCTTTAGATATTCCTCTGCTTTTTGTGGGACCAGGTCAAATGATTATTTACCAAAATCTCGGAGAGAATAACTTCAGTCCTTTTAAGGCTTGTACTGAAGGCCACATTAAGCCAAAATCATGGATCATGTCAGCTTTCTTTCTGCACTTGAATGTGTGTTAATTCCAGATAACTTAAGTGTTCAAGTGTGTTATATAGCATCTGCAGCAACATCTTTAACAAAGTTGGTGATGATGCCAAAATAATGACACGTACAATGACATCAGCATGGAAATGCTGCAATTATGTGCTTGTGTCCTGATGGCTGACACGATTACAGAAGTCATGGCAGTCATGTGATGTTTCATACATTTTTATCTTGTGTCACTCTTGCCCTTCCTGCAGATGTCCATGGAGAACAATGTAATATTAAGTCTTATCGCTTGCAATTTTTGAATCCTGCAGCTAGTAAAGTAAAATGTATTATCATGTGTATCTTAAGGTAGTTCTGCTTCTAACTAATGAATATCTGGAATATATGAAGTTTCCAAATATTTTGGTTTTATCATAATTCTAATATCTTAATGAATGCTTACAGTATATTTAAGAGCTTTTCTTTCCTTTTGTAGTAAAAAAGCACGATTGGATTGGAGTACAGATGCTGCATCCTTGATTGGAGAAGAATTACAAGTTGACTTCCTTGATCATGTTCCACTCACAACACATAACTTCGTATGTTGATCTTTTGTATGTATAGAAGAACTGGAAATGCTTTATGGAAAGCGATGCTAGCAGATTTCTGTTATGAATGAAAAACCTAACAGACTTGATCATATAGCCTTCTCACAAAATCAATGTGTAAATCAGAAAGCTATAATACAGTTGAGTTTTCTGACCTTTCCAATATTGATGGAAAATGAACAGTTTTATTCACTAGTCTTACAGTACAGTGTCTTTTTCTTTTCTGTTTTTTTCTTGCTTGCATTGGACATTTTTCCTTGTGAGATTAAGAATTTTCTACTGCAGTTTAAAATTTCTCCCTTCTTAATGTCCATTAAGATGGTCACAAGTGTAGTTGTAGTTGGATTTTATACCTAAAGTAGCCACAGGAGAACCACAGTGTTCTTCCTTTGATCCTTGGATCAATGCCTGCATTGTTAGAAAGTTATTTTTTAACTAATATAAATAACACAAACTCATTTTCTTAACCAATTAGTTATTTTTCCTTTCTTACCTAGCAACTCACAGTGAATGTGTGAATGGATTCTCCTGCAGTACATCATATATATAGGATAATAGGAAAGGAACTACCATAGAGATTGGTGATGGTTCATGCTGAAGTAGAAGTCATCACTTGAAGTCCATATCAAAACTTACTGCCTGCTAGTTTGGTGTTGTGTGATTAAAACATTCAACACCTGGACAACTCAGTAGTCAAAGATATTTGGGGCTTCCTTTTCTTGCATGAAGAAAGAGGCAGAAAATACACTAATTTGTCCTCTAGTTAGTTATGATCCTCTAGGCGCCTGGATCATCACAGTTGCTATGCTTAGTGCTTCTTCCAGTCTTGGCCTAATGATTGTAATAGAATACTCTCACTGATCAAGTACAGGTATTACAAAATGAAAGTATGGAGGGAGCATAGGGCACACGTGCCAGCTTCCGGTCCTTTTTCCGAAACTTCTGAAAATTGGTGAGAAAGCTGTGAAGACAAATTCTAAGCTTTGCTAAGTGTGCAGTCTTCTGTATGATGTAAAAGCCATAATCAGTTCACAAAGATTGGAACGCGCATTTTCATGATCCTTTTGTCCTTTCATTTAGTAACACATGCATTAGGCTAGGATAATAGAGATACTGCAAGTAATTTTTTTAAAAAATCCATCTGTAAATTTAGCA